TATGAGGTCAGCAGTAACCCAGAATCCAGACTTAATCTTTTATTCATAATGTTGACTGCAGTTTCTTCAGTTATCTTTCTGCTTGTTTTTTTTTGCATTAGCGTGATTTCGTTTTGTTGGATATCCCACAGGTTTATTTTGCCTTCCTCTGTAGTACATTTTGTTAATAAACAGCATCTTTTTTTCCACCTCCTGCTTCTTCAGGATCCCTTTAAGAAACCCAAACTATTGAGAATTAATATATTTAACACATATTTTGGGGTGCACTTGGTCTTCACTCCCTTCGGCTGTTTTACGATCAGACACAGCAATTATTAATTCTAATGAATCCCTCAAGATGAATAACCACATGATTACACATCCACAACAATGATCAACAGGTGGAAATACGCTGTGGACGCTCTCACACATAAACTCAGCAGAACAAAACACCTTCTATTAAAAACTATTTTCTGCTTTTATGTTGTGTACAGTGATTTTGTGAGACAGTAGAAAACAGTCTGAGTTGATTTATTGGTGAGGCCATAGCTTTGAGTTTTAAGTTATGAATTGAAGTTCTGTTACTGTACTGCATGTTTCAGATATATGCTGTAGTCATCCAGATGTGGTGCAGATTCACACATACACATTGTCGAGTGAAAAAATTAGCTACAACTACAACTACAAATGAATCGCAGCTTTGTTACTGAGGAATTTGGTGCGCGGACTTTATTTGATTGATCGAAACGGACAGAGAGGGAGACTCTGTGTTATCAACTTCACCCAATCACAGCACAGGCCTGAAAGAGAAGCAACATGCAGTTACTGGGATGTCGGAGAAAGTCTGCAGGGAGAAAATGGAAAGAAAAGGACAATATAAAGTTATCGAAGTGGAAACATAAGAACTTTATGACTCACAGCAGTGTTTCTGCTCACCTCTGCTCACATTGTAAGAAGTATATTTTCACCCTTGTGTCAGGCGATTGTTTTTTTCTTCTTTTTTTCCAAAGAGGGCTGCTGGCCTGCTCACAGAACTACGCCTCTGGTGTGAACAGCCCTGCTGTAGCTCATGCGTGTAACTTCCACTACACGTCTGCTTCACTGTTTCAGTGTGAGCCAATGTCGCGGTGTCAGGGAGCTTTTACTCGCAAACACTGTTCCTCTACACTAATTCTACTGTTTGTCTGTGTCGGCCATATGTTGTCATAATCTTTGCGTCCATTATACTTGCCACAATAAATCACTGTGGAGTTTTCCTCTTTTTATGCTGCTGCACATTAGGCTCTTTACGTTAACTCCATCCTGTTGCTTTGAAAACTCACATATAAAAGTGATGATTGTCAGACCTCTTTAAAATCCTAATGGCATCCAACTTATTTGGTATGACTCACATGAATAGTTGCTTTTGTGATTCACTTACTTCAAAGCTCCTTTTCATGTGGTGTTTCTCATATTTTATCCTCCCTTTCTATCTGTCCCAGTGGGCTTCTTCATGGAAATTATATTGAATTTGTTCAATTGAATGAATTCATATGTTTAGCAACACATTTATGAGAAATGTTAGTGTCACAAACCTACGTTTGTGTATTCACTTAAAAAAGGTGATTTAAAGATGCTTCTTTGCACGGAGACCCTCTGTTTTCTGAATCTGAGCTCCACGGTTCTTCACTTTAATTTCGGAATTATTTATTTATGAAATAATGTGATGGATTAAAAAACAAGGACAGACAGAGATAGTTTAATATCCTGTGTTCCTTTACAGCTGCAGAAAGTGATAATGCTATTTAAGATGAGTATCACTGTCCATTCTCTCT